TCTAGTAGAGAATAATATCCCAAAATCACCTGCTCATCAACAATGTTAATATCAGAGAGCTTGTGCCCTGACCGCTTGTTCTTGTTCGACCCACCCAATTCTTTCGCCAGAAAGTAGTTTCTCGAGAAACCATATTCATCTTCTTCTATGTTTTCAATGTCCTCCATTGTCGTGGGACAATGTAAAGAACAATGTCACCTTAAACTGGAGAAAAGAGTCTCCTGCAACAGCAACCATCAAGAGTGAATACTGAATTTGACAAACTAAATTCAGATTTCCAAAGATGCTTAGTTTAGTTATATTCACCCAAACATCTGTTATCAATGTATATCACAATTTACACATCAAATTCCAGAAGCAAACAATTCAACGAATCACACATCCGAAACTGGCCTAGTATATCTTCTACTTTCACTAAATGGATTGATAAGGAGGGAAAAAAAAAATGATTTCACTGGAAAAAAGTATCAAATTGATCAGAATAAGATCAGAGACCCAACCACATAACGAGACTTTACCTTCACAGAATCTAAGAGATGCGAAAAAAACCTCTCACTAAGAAAGTAAGAGCAGAAAAATCGGCGAATCGTGGATTCGATTGTGCCTCTCAATCGTGGCTTCACGTAAGGTTTTAAATTCTGTGAGACTCCGACGAGAAGAACAAGTAAAAAGATTTGCCCTAACGATGATGATGAAGATGCAATCTCAATTTTCCCGCTCATTTTCATTCATCTTTCCCGGTTACAAGTCTACGACGACGTTTTCAAGATAACCTGGGAACCCTAGCAATTGGGATCCTTTAATACACTCATAAGAGCATCATTAACGTTGATTTTTTAGAAGTCTCTTAAAATTAATCTGATTAAAAAATTATTTAATCAGATGAATTACGCTTGAAACGGTTATGTGGGATGAAACGGAGTCTTCGGGACACGTGTCGATTTGTTATTGGACCTCCAGTAAAAAAAATTCAGATCTGTTGGGGAAGCAAAAAATGTCGATCATTTTTCGCAAAATTTTTTTTTCCTCTCTCTCTCTTTCTTCTCCTCCTCCGAAGGTGACGGCGACGTCGATAAAAAAAACGATGTCGTTGTTGTCATCGGAGCTTCTCCTTCCTTTCGGCGATTCCGTCGTCG